CATATTTATATATATATATATATTTATATAATATATATATATATATATATGAATGAAATATTTTGTATGAACGAGCGCTTAAAAGAAAAAAGGATAAACAATAAATAATAACTAACTAAATAAACAAACAAATAAACAAACAAATAAACAAACAAACAAATCAAATATATATATATATGTATATGAATTGCTTTGCATGCAGGAACAACTGTATGTAGTGGACGCATTTGCTGGCTGGGACCCGGAGTATAGAGTGCGAGTCCGAGTAATAACGAGCCGAGCTTATCATGCATTGTTTATGCAGAATATGTTGGTCATGCCGACTAAAGAAGAGCTCTTACATTTCGAACCCGAGTTCACTGTTTATAATGCTGGGTGCTTCCCTGCTAACAGATTTACTGAAGGTATATATTTATATATATATATATATATATTATTTATATATATATATTGTTTATATATATTGTTTATATATATTGTTTATATATATTGTTTATATATATTATTTCTATATATATATTGTTTATTTATATTTGTTTATGTGCATATGTATATAATTGATATGTTTATATATATGTTTATGTGGATGCTTCCCTGCTAACAGATTCGCTTAAGGTATATAATATCATATATATATATATATTTATTTATTTATTTATTTATATGCATGCATATATATATGTATATTTATATGCATATATATATGTATAGATGCATGTTGATATGTATATGTTTATGCATGTTATTTTGTAATGTATACATATATATATACATATATATATATATATATGCATATATATATATATATTTGTATACAGCGTGTTTGTATTGCTGGGGCTTAGCAGAGAGTGCTGTGAATGAACAGTATTGCAGTACAACTTTATTTATATTTATTCTTGACTATTATTTCTTGTCAACAATATATATATAATATATTGTATATTTTATATGTATTATATATATTATATAATGTATTGTATATATTATATGTATTATCTCATATATATATTATCTATTACCTATATCCATATACATAATAAACAAGTATACTATAAAATAAATATTTGAGATTATTAAAGGAGTAATGCATTAAATAGTGTTGTGCATGCATTTGATTAAATGTTCAGGTGTAACGAGTCAGACATCTGTAGCATTACACCTGGGTAAGAGAGAGATGGTTATCCTGGGGACGCAGTATGCAGGCGAAATGAAGAAGGGTATATTAACTCTTATGATGTATCTCATGCCTAAGCAAGGTCAGCTCCCTCTGCATTCTTCATGTAACATCGGAGACAAAGGAGATGTTACGCTCTTCTTCGGCCTCAGCGGCACCGGCAAGACAACGCTCGTTAGTCCTCTGCTGCTGCTCCTGCTTGTTATGCTGCTGCTGCTTGTTATGCTGCTGCTGCTGCTGCTGGTTATGTTGCTGCTGGTGGTTATGTTGCTGCTGGTGGTTATGTTGCTGCTCCTGCTGCTGCTGGTTATGCTGCTGCTCCTGCTGCTGCTGGTTATGCTGCTGCTGCTGCTGCTGATGCTGGTTATTGCTGTTATTGCTGTTGCTGCTGTTGTTGTTATTGCTGTTGCTGCTGAAAATGCTGTCTTTATTGTTGCTGGTGATATGCTACTGTTGCTGCTGTTACTGCTACTGCTGCTGTTACTGCTGCTGCAACTGCTACTGCTGCTGCTGATATGCTGCTGCTGCTGTTACTGCTGGTGCTGCTGCACTTGCTGCTGCTGGAGCATGAGTTGTAAGGTTAGTATTATGTGTGATATGTTTGATGTTTGACGATAAAATAGTCTGCAGATCCTCGAAGAGAATTAATAGGAGATGATGAGCATGTATGGACATCAAAAGGAGTATTTAATATAGAAGGAGGGTGTTACGCGAAGTGTAAGGATTTAAGCAGAGAACAAGAGCCTGAGATATATAATGCTATTAGATTTGGAGCCGTCTTAGAGAATGTCGTCCTTGAAGAAGAAGAAAGAAACGTAGACTTCTCTGATTCTACTATCACTGAAAACACTCGCTGTGCTTATCCTCTTCATTTTATACCCAATGCTAAAATACCCGCTGCTGTTAACCGACATCCAAGCAATATCATACTGCTGGTAGGATATGCTTATTTATCTATATTATATATCTAAATAAATATATATATATTAATATTAATATATTATACTTATTATTTGTTTATTATTTATTTATTTACTTATTTATTTATGTGTCTATTGTATATGTGTATGTGTGTGTGTATATTGTATATTGCATATATTTATTTTCTTTATATCTATTGTATATATATATATATATTTATATCTTTGTTTATATTATATATATGTATTAATTATTATATATATTATTTATTGTATTTGAATGGACATTTATGCGTTTATTTATTTAAATGTTTAAATCTAACATTAAAAATTAATATAAAAAATAACATTTGTATCTATATACTTAAATCTGTATATCTGTATATCTATATATATATATATATATATTTGTTGTACATGCCTATAAATATATATATACATATATACATATATATATGCACATTATATATATACATATTATATATATACATATATATATACATATATATATATATATATATGTACAGTCAGTGTTGTGTTGTTTTTCTATTGAATTCCTTTCTGTTTGTTTCTTTTGTCTTATGGTTGAAGCATTAGATAAAGTAAATATGAAAGTAAATATGTGTAGGTGTAGGTGTAGGTGTTGTTGTGGTGTACAGACATGCGACGCTTTCGGAGTGTTACCTCCAGTATCGAAGCTGTCAGCATCTCAAGTAATGTATCATTTTATATCGGGTTATACGAGCAAGATGGCCGGCACAGAGATAGGTATATTAAAGCCTGCTGCTACTTTCTCTGCTTGCTACGGATCTCCTTTCCTTGCTATGCATCCAATGGTTTATGCAGAAATGCTGGTGAGACAATATCTATCTATCTAGCGACCTACCTAGCTAGCTAGCTAGCTAGCTAGCTAGATAGATAGATAGATAGCTAGCTACCTAGCTAGCTAGCTAGCTAGATAGATAGATAGATTGATTGATTGATTGATTGAGTGAGTGATAGGTAGATGGATAGCATTCGATGTTATATGCAGAAATGCTGGTGAGACAATAGCTAGCTAGCTAGCTAGATATCTAGCATCGTATGATAGATAGCTAGCTATATTGATAGCTATCTAGCACCGTATGCTGTATGTATGCTGAGATGCTGATAAGACTAGGATATAGGTATGTAGCTAGCTAACTAGCTTCTAGTTAACTAGTTAGCTAGCTAACACCGTGACTAGGCCCCCATGTAGGCTACCTAGCTATGCAAGTACCTATGTATAGATGCATGCATTGTATGTTAATAAAAGAAGCATACATATATGCATATATACATATATATATATATTTATATGGTTATTGAATCTGCATGCAGGCAGCAAAGCTGCAGCAGCACAACGCTGACGCGTGGCTGTTGAACACTGGATGGGTTTGCGGGGGCTACGGGGCTAAGGAAGGAAGACGAATATCTTTGCAGTATACTCGCGCGATGGTTGATGCAATTCACGATGGTTCTCTTGCGAAGCAGCAATTCGAGGTTAGTCAGCACACACGTGCACATGCAGCAGCAGCAGCAGCAGCAGCAGCAACAGCAGCAGCAACAGAAGCAGCAGCAGCAACAGCAGCAGCAGCAACAGCAGCAGCAACAGCAGCAACAGATGCAGCAACAGCAACAGCAGCAGCAACAGCAGCAACAACAGCAGCAGTAGCAACAGCAGCAACAGCACTAGTAGTAGTAGTAATAGTAGTAATAGTATTAGTATTAGTAGTAGAAGTAGAAGAAGCAACAGCTTCTGAGTATTAAGGCTTTTGCTGCATTTGTTTGTTTGTATGTTGAATGATGATATATTTCGTCTTTCTTTTGTTTGTTTATTTATCTGTTTATCTTTTTGTTTGTCTTGCAGTTTGTTTATAAGTCATGTTGGCTCTGCATGCATCTCTAAGAACCTGTTCTATTCCTGCTGCTGCTGCTGCTGCTGCTGTTGCTGCTGCTGCTGCTGCTGCTGCTCAGGAAATGCCTATATTTAAGCTGCGCGTTCCCACAGCAGTGCCGGGCGTACCATCAGAGTTGCTGATGCCTCAGAGGGCTTGGAGAGATAAAAAAGATTTAAATAGACAATTAAAAAAGCTTGCTGCACTTTTTGTTGAAAACTTTGTGCAGTATCATGATAAAGCTACACCAGAAATCATTCAGGCAGGGCCGCAACAACCAGAAGAAGGAGAAGATGAAGAAGAAACATCACATCTCACTGCTGCTGAATCTTCTTGATTTATCTTTGCATGCATGCATGCATGCATGCATGCATGCATGCATGCATGCATGCATGCATGTGCGTGTATGCATGCATTATTTGCATGCATGCATAATTTGCGTGTATGCATAATTTGCATGCATGCATTATTTGCATGCATGCATGACTTGCATGAGTGCATTATTTGCATGCATGATTTGCATGCGTGCATAATGTGCATGCATGCATGCATGCATGCATGTAATGTTTGGGTATATTGCGATTGCTTTGTTTGGTCGTTTTCTTAAATTCTGTTTTTAATTTTCGTGCGGCGTTGGGAATTATTAAAAAAGTTAAGGAGGCCTGCAGCTGCAGATACACCCAATTCGTTTTCTGCTGCACTTCATGAGTGCAATAGACAGCTATATATATATTATATAACGTATGTTATATGGTGTATATTATATATATTGTGTGCATATATATATGTATTATATAATGTATATTATATATATATATTGTGTTGTGTACATATATGTATATCATATATATATAAAGCATATTATATATGCTATATATATATATACATATATATATATAC